TCAACGTCAAACGAAACTTGGGCAGACATGGCGTGGGACTCCGCATGATTAAGCCCAGACATACTAAGGGCCGCCCTGTAAACAGCTAAGTGGGTGGTCACAATTTTACGGCAAAGCAGGTCCGTGAAGGGGGGCCAAACAGAGGTGGCTTAGTAGAGCACGGAGGCCGCCAAGGCTTTCGAAGGCACAGTTTTAGCAGACAACGACAGCTGCGGTCTGGGGGCCATAGGGGCCTTGATGGGGCCGAGAGCTCCGCGGGCCTTGGTGGTGCGCGAGGTGGCCCCAGGGGCCATGGAGCCAGACGCCGCAACTTGCACCCCCAACACCTTGCGCACAGCAACAATGGAAAGCTGAAGCCCCACTTGGGGGAGTGTAAGAGGGGGGAAGGGGGCACCAACCTGGAATGCTTCGGGGCCCCTTGCCACGCAGGCACAGGATGAGCTTAGTCTTGGAGGGGGTGGGACGGAGGCCCAGGGCGAGGGCAGCGACATACACCGCCCCCGCCACAGCTAGCGCGATTCCTGGTACCTGTCGGGCGCCCTTGATTGCAACATATACCGAGGGGTCATCAACAAAGCATAGATCAATCTGCACCCGCCCCCAATCCTGAGGAGGGGCACAAACAAGATCAGGTGGGTCAAATGTATCCGACATGTTAATATGCAAATCAGCTAAAGACTGCCTGGGCAATACTACTACGGATCTAAATAAGAGATTGAACACGTCGGATGTCAATGCTGTGCCAAGCCTGGTGCCTGCCGATGGCAGTACGGAATCGCTGGCATGTCTTACTGTCCAGAAAGAATAACGCTACGATTCCCTAACAAGAGCGATCAAATAGCGCTGGTGAGGCGAGCTTCAAGGGGCTTTCTGGCCCGAAGTTGGGCCTGCACCCCTGTTTTCAAAACCTTTGGGATGGCCATTGATTCTAACGCCCTCTCAAGTCCCCCCCCCCCCCCACCCCCCCCCCCCCACCCCACCCCCCCCCCCCCACCCCCCCCCCCCCCCCCCCCCCTCCCCCCCCCCCCCCCCCCCCCCCCCCCCCCCCCCCCCCCCCCCCCCCCCCAGGGAGCGAGAGGACGAGCTGCTTGATGGCACTGTAGAAGGCGCCCACCAAGTCTTGCGACAAAACCAAAGATGAAAGCTCACGTGACACACAAGCCGACTTGTTAAGCAAGACTCCATGCAGGGTCAATTCAGGGCCCTTGTGGGCCACTCCCCCACACTGTTCAGAGAACAGACACATGCCAAAAAAGTCAAAGGCGAATTGGCGAATGTGGCGGTGGTGGAGTTTGCAAACAGTATTAGCCATTGTGATATTGCGTTGGGACTTGGCCAACTGGGGGGGCCCTGGGCCCGCGCAGAGGGGGAAGAAGAAGAAAAAAAAAAAAAAAAAAAAAAAAAAAAAAAAAAAAAAAAAAAAAAAAAAAAAAAAAAAAAAAAAAAAAAAAAAAAAAAAAAAAAAAAAAAAACCCGATTTAAAGACGATAGGTTCCCTGGCCGAAACCGCAATCTTGCAAAGGAGGGGACGCAGAGACTGGGCCATGGCCTTGAGGGCAGCCTTCATGAGGTCAGAGGGGAACCCGTCCGGTCCTGGGGCCTTACCCACTCTCACATGGCGAAAAAAGAGCTTCTACATCAACTAACGAAGGCAATACCGTCAACTCTCTGTCGAATGCACAAGGGAGAAGATCAGGCATGGCATTGAATTCGCTAAGCAGGTCAGCCATAGAGCATGCATGCTGTGCCAAACTCAACTCCACAAAAGTGCGCCTGCATGTGCTGGTTAACTCCATCTGCCGATGTGAGCACCTGACCCTGGGAGATGGAATCGAGTTCAGAGAGTGGAAGGGGCCCCATCAGGAGCCTCAGCAGGAACGGCCATCATGGGGAGGACGTCGGGAATGCGATGTGCACCCCCTCGCGGCCGCCAGCGGCCAATAAGGCGTTGATACGTTTCCACTGTTGGCGTGGTCAGCGGGCCCCAATGGAAATAATGATATCGCTGGCTGTACGCTCTAGATGCCACGGCCGATCATCATCAAGCATATGTGCCAAAACTGGCTTACTAACATGCAAGAAATGCAGACATGAGGCAGCAAAGGTGTCCTGGTTCACTCGGATACTAAGCAACCCTCGAGAATGGGACAAGAGAGGAGACGCGAGCTTCCTGTCTCGATCCAAGAATCTGTCCTGAAATGCATCTATGAAGTCACCTGAGGGCAAACGCTGTGCAAACCTGAACAAGGGGGGAAAAAGAGAGAGAGAGAGAGAGAGAGAGAGAGAGAGAGAGAGAGAGAGAGAGAGGAGAGACGAGAGAGAGAGAGAGAGAGAGAGAGAGAGGAGAGAGAGGGGAGAACGAAGAGAAAAAAAAAAAAAAAAAAAAAAAAAAAAAAAAAAAAAAAAAAAAAAAAAAAAAAAAAACTCGGGCGTGCGCGAGCTGAGGCGAGAGGCGAGGGAAGGAAGGGGCGCTGGGCCGACCGCCCTGAGGTGATTCAACCATGAAAGTGGCACCCAGGCTAGGCTCAGCAGCGTTAACGGGGCTGTCCCAGTGAGAAGTATCCTGCCCCCAATCACGCGAGGGGGGGCCCTTTGGTAGGAATGAACCATCGACGGAGGGCCCTCGGGGCCTCGCGCCTCCACGCAATGCAACCCAAAGCAAGCGCCGAGACATGGGGCTTGAGAGGGGGGCGCCCAGGGAAACCAAAATGTGTTTTTGCAGCCATACGAGTGCCAGCAAAAACGGATTCAAGGTGGTCGTTAATGTCTGTTTCCCACGGGACGCTGGCCACATCCAAGACCTGCTGGGAGAATGCAGTACATGCATCTTCGGACGCCAACAACCTGGGGTCGAGACGGGGGCATCCTCCTACCTGAACCTCATGAGGAGGGCAGTCCCAAGCAAGATCAGCAAGGACAGGATAATGGTCTCTAACTGCCATGCGGTTATCAGAAAAAGTAATCCACGGAACATCGAGCAATGTGCGGACACAGGGATCTGTCATACAAAATGCAGTCAATCCTATAACGAGCACCACCATTATCGACAAAGGTGTGCCCCCCTAGAAGGTCGTCACGGAATGTGTTGACAACTGCCATCTAGGAGAGTAGAGCAAGGCGGTGTAGCTCTTAGCCAGGCTCGTCATCCTCCTGGGCAAAGCCCCTGCGACCAACTGATTCTGACGTGAGCGAGCCTAAACGCGCGTCGGCATCAATGAGGGCCACCTGGGGTGACCATTCCACTAGAAGCGGCTCGATCACTCTCCAGAATGAGGCTTTCTCTGAGGCGGGGCGCCTGACATGTGGAGCATGGGGCGCAAGCGCTCTGGTCTGGAAAGCGGGGGCCACAATGCCACCCACCAGGGTCCTGCGAGAAGCTTGGAGGACCTCGATGCGACGGGCAGCGAAAAGGAGAGCCCCCCCCCCCCTCCCCCCCGACAACTGCGTACGGAGGGCAAGATTCACCCAAAGCTCTACACCCAGGCCTTCAGCACCCGGCCCGCGCGCGGCGCCAGAAGATAAAATGAGAGAACCGACCGCCACGCGGACTCCCCGAGGGTCGCGGGCCTCCTGAATGCCAACATGGTGGGCTTTCGTGGCAGAGAACTGCATGCGGAGAGCTTCGCTGCGAGCCCTACGGGCCTTACCCTTGGCCCCCCAAGACACACGGGCAGAGCACGATTTAACTTTGTACTGGGCCACCTTGAGCTCCACAGAGGTCCCAGCAGCTTTCTTGGTCCGAGAGGTCTCAAGGGCAGCTGCTTGAGAATCCGCTGCCGCGCAGGGTGGCACAGGGGCGTGAACGACCGTGTCCACGGGAGGAAAGGGCGCAAGCACATCAGGAGAGGCGCCGCGGATCTACTACCATTCTCGGCCCACGTGATCAGAGGTGGCGGACAACAAGTCAACGGGAAGGGGGGGCGGCGGAATGCTGTTGAGCATGGTATATCGTGCAATGTGGTCTTCCAAGGTGTTCCACGGGTGCCCAGAGTACCCTTTTACATGGTTACAAACACTTCTGCGTGTCTGAGAAGCAATCGTCCAGGCACAAGAAGTAATCCTTGCTTGCTACCTGATCGCGACGGGGAGGGCCTGTTTTCCCTTGCAGGGCTCGAACAGCATTGAGAGAGTCCGATTCAACAGTGACATCAAGGGAAGGATAATGAAAGATGAGAAAGAGGGTGGCCCAGAGGAGACCAACCAACTCGCTGTCGGCGCTGCTTACACCGTCGGTTGCGAGTGCCCGGCAGGTAGCAAGTACTTCCCCAGTGAAGTAGCCACCAAAATCAAAACCCAGGGCATCCCGGAGGACTATAATGAATGCCCATGCCGCGGCCCCCCTCTCACCTAATTTGACAGACCCGTCGGTGAATATGCGGAGGCGCGCCCGCGCACGGACTCCGGGCGGGGCGAGTTCAAGTGCCAACGCAGCCTCGGGGGGGAGGGCACCCACATCATTAATATCGAGGCGGGGGGGGGGGGGGCCGGAGGCCAAGGCACCCCTAATACACGGAGAAGAGGGGGGCAGGAAACGAGAAGAGGGGGGGGCAGAAGGGGGCACGCGAGGACAATGTGACCTCTGTTGCCCCGACTGAGAGCCCTGCCCTTCACCAAGTGGGCGGGGCGCGCCGAGCGTCGACATCGCCGAGGGGAGATCAGCACAGCAAACGAACATATAAGAGAACACACACACACACACACTCAAATACACTCGGCTGCA